TGGATTTCTTAATTAATCCAAGACATTTACTTATTCTAGGTCATAAGGGCATTTTGGTTCTCAACGTTTTTATATTCATTACAAAGCTTTGAGTATATCCATTCATTCATGAGCTTGGTGACATTCTTGAGTCATTTCCATTCCAGGGGTATTTTGGTCATTTACAGATCCAATGTATTTCCATCATTTCCTTACGTCTGATCTTATTATTTAATTTAATCTTATCACTTACTTCAGTCCTTTCAAACAATTCTGACCAAATAGCACATTCGATAAATCATTCTTCAGGTATTTACTCAATTCGGTAATTTCCAGGTTAAATGTCTTTCAAATGTTACTAACGAATTTTCAGAAAATTTTCCATACAAAGGTAGGATCTCAACAACCAAATCAGTAATTTATCGATTTAAAAACAAATTCTCAGGTTACTCTCTCATTCAGAGTCAACTTGGACTATTTTACCTCTCAAGGGCATTTTCGTAATTTCTTAACCAGATAATTTCGGTATTAACTCTTAACAAAAAATAATATAATTTGGAGATCCTATATTAATTGCTTTCCCGAACATTCTTTGATCTTAAAATGATTCTTTAACCGACTTCTAGTATCTTGCACAAACCCTCGGGTTTAAAAACCGGTTATCCGTATTTCCTAAGCAAAACTAGCATTTTCTTATGCACATATGAAATTTTACCGAATCAATATATCTTTTCAGAGTTATTAACCAACTTCCAAGGACAATTCTTGTCATCTTACAATATAAGGGTATTTTCAGAATTTTACCCTACCGGAGTATTCTCATAATTTCTCATCCAAGTACCTTTAACATTTAACCTTTGATGATATAAAATATAATTTACAAATCCATGGCCAATTTCTTTATCACTAATCACAACTTGTAATTTAATTCTAACAATCTTTCAATCTCTTATATTAGTCATTCGATCCATATTCAGTTACTGAATTTCTACCACATTCATATCGAGTGTATAAATTATTCAACTCCACAAAAGTGACCAACATTATCTTATCCATGCATTTACCAATATCAACATGTTTCATAAAGCATAAAGAGGTAGTAAAGTATTACCTCGATTTCTGTGCAATACTGATCGACCATAAAAATTCCATTCGAACGCCTTTGATCTTCAATTCAACTTCCAATAATTCCTCAGATACATATCAACATAAATTATATCAGAAACGGAGCTTAATTACGATAAACGGATCGAATCGGGTGATAAATTAGTGAAAGACGGCTTACCGAGTTCGAATTTGGCAAAACGGACTTCGGATTCGGATTCAGGACATCGAAAGCATAAAATATGACTTTTCAGAAATTTGGAATTTTCGGTCAAAATCAAAGTCAACAGGTTTGACTGACAATTTCGAGGCCTTCGGGTTCGAATTTCGAAAAACGGACAGCGGAATCGGATTTGGAACGTCGAAAAATGTCAGGATAGGTATACTCGGTCGAAGTCAAAGGTCGTTTAATGCCCGATCAAAGCCAGTCAAAGTTTTGGTCAACAGTGGTCAACGTGGGTCAACGGTCAACGGGTCAACGGGTCGGGTCGGGTCAATTGGTCGGGTAAACGGGTCGGGTAAACGGGTCGGGTCGGGTTATGACCGGTCAAACCGGTCAACTATCCACTAAAACTGGTCAAACCGGTCACTTTTGTCTTCCCCACGCGCAGTGACGGCGCGTGGGGGCGCGTGAACAGTGATAAAATCCCGGAAAAATTTCTAAAAATTATTTTGAGCGATTTCGAGATACTTACAAAGCTCGGTTCACAATTTTGAATGGCGGAGAGCTCGATTTCAACAAATCGGAAACTTTAACCGCTTCACCTCCACACGCGCCGCCGCCGCCGGAGAAAAGGGAGGACACCGGTGGACTCGGAACGGCACAAGGAACACGATGGTGCGGGAGGTGTTGTAAACGGATGACCCGATCGTTGTGAATCGATGAAAAACCAACTAAAACCGAGTTATTACCGACGATACTTCCGACTGAAATTAACGACGAACGGAGATGATTCACGATGAAAGGTTTGAGGGGTTTTGTTCCTCGGTTGACAACGAACACGATGGTGGTTTCGGCTCGTCGATCGGAGGTCGGACGGCGAGTAGATCGGAGTTCGAAGGAGGGAGAACGGGAGAGGAAAACTGGAAAATTTTCCGCTGAACCTGCGCACGGGGAACTTATAATTCAACATATATAAAAATTGGTTAAATTATGACTTTAGCCACTAATCTTCATGCATTTCTTAAAACGGTCTGCCATCTTTGAAATCTGACAATTTAATCCCCAAATTTCTTCCAAATACCAATTAAATCCACCACTTTATATTTTCTTAAATTTAGCCCCTAAATTGGGGTGTTACACTTTCGAAAATATGATTTAAACTTATATTCTAAAAATTACAACATGATCTAGTATATGAGCTTTATTTTTTTAAAAAAGAATCCAACCTAATATAATCGAATCGCATTATCTCTTTCGGTTGAAATATTAAATATTGATTATGTTTTACATTCGAATGAACGGGAGAGGCATGACCACCTCTTTGAATATACTTATTTAAGACGCATTTAAAAGTGAATTTTGAGAGCTTGCAATCCGTCGAGATCGATGATAGATCGGAGTCGGGAGTTTAATTGGACGTGCAACAACGCCAAAATAAAGTATTTCTTTCTTTCCTGTTTCATTGGCTTGGAATGGGTGCATTGATTGGTTTGGAAAAAAAGAAACAGCAGGTACTTCAAAGAGGTGTATAGGAGGAATAAAGAACCGGTGGACAAAATGAGGAAGATAGTGTAAAGGTGGCGAGCTTGCGTGGTGATCAACGTTTTTGGTAAGCAGATTAGAATGAAATATAAATGTTTAGTGTTTTTATTTGATTATTTGGTCTAATTGTATATGGACGTTTATTTTTCATATAAAATATAATATTTATCTAAAAAATTAATTTAAAAGTCGTGAAATTCGAATCAAAACTCGAATCTAGTTTCGTTGCAAGTCTTGCCCACGCGCCTAAATTGAAAAGAACAAATTAAATGTCGATTTAATAAGATTGCTTGTGCTAGGTAGATTGATGACATTAATTAAATTAATTGTTTTAATAATAATATAGATAACCATATAATTATAGAAAATTGTGTGAAATTGATTTTTGACCCAAATAGGGGTAAAACTGTAACTCGACCCTTACATGGGCAAATGATACTGTAAAGACATACTAGAATTTTTTTTACTTTAAGGTAAGAGAAAATCGCCTCAGTGACCAAAAATGCCTTATAATATACGATTTTAACCAACTTTTTTTGGATTTGCGAAAATGACCAACAAAATCGCAACGCGAAATAAAAATCGCAACGCGATTTAGAAAATCGCAACGTTGAAAAGAAAATCGCAACGGTCAAAAGAAAATCGCAACGCGATATTCCAAGAATCGCAATGCGATTAAGAGAATCGCAACGCGATCTTCCAAGAATCGCAACGCGATTCAGAAAATCGCAATGCGATTCCAAGAATCGCAATCGCAACGCGATTCAGAAAATCGCAACGCGATTAAGAAAATCGCAACGCGATTAAGAAAATGAGTAAATTCTTTCAAAAGCTATTGTATTTGTTTCTTTCTTAAGAATTTTCTCTAAAAAGATAGTATCCGCGCGGACGTGTCGAAGACACGTATTACCACGACCACGACCACGACCACGACCACGACCACGACCACGACCACGACCACGACCACGACCACGACCACGACCACGACCACGACCACGACCACGACCACGACCACGACCACGACCACGACCACGACCACGACCACGACCACGACCCGAGACGAGACGAGACGGCGGCGGCGGCGCGCGAGAGTCCCCCTTGTTCTCTTTCACTCAACAAGGAAATGGGAAATCCAAGCCTTAAATACTCTTCCCAATAGTGTTTCCAATACTATGTGGGATTGAGCATTACTCAACACTTCAAAGAAAATATAGCAATTTTTGTAGCATGTTTCCCGCTTAATCCATATTTAAAAATATTAAAACATTTTATCATATTAAAACTATATGTATAAGTTTGAATTGAAATGTAGATATCTACAACTCTTTTAATTCTCTTGATAAAATGTTTTAATATTTTTAGATATGGATTAAGCGGGAAAATACTACAAAAATTGCTATATTTTCTTTGAAGTGTTGAGTAATGCTCAATCCCACATAGTATTGGAAACACTATTGGGAAGTGTATTTAAGGCTTGGATTTCCCATTTCCTTGTTGAGTGAAAGAGAACAAGGGGGACTCTCGCGCGCCGCCGCCGCCGTCTCGTCTCGTCTCGTCTCGGGTCGTGGTCGTGGTCGTGGTCGTGGTAATACGTGTCTTCGACACGTCCGCGCGGATACTATCTTTTTAGAGAAAATTCTTAAGAAAGAAACAAATACAATAGCTTTTGAAAGAATTTACTCATTTTCTTAATCGCGTTGCGATTTTCTTAATCGCGTTGCGATTCTTGGAATCGCGTTGCGATTTTCTTAATCGCGTTGCGATTCTTGGAATCGCGTTGCGATTTTCTTAATCGCGTTGCGATTCTTGGAATCGCGTTGCGATTTTCTTAATCGCGTTGCGATTTTCTGAATCGCGTTGCGATTCTTGGAATCGCGTTGCGATTCTTGGAATCGCGTTGCGATTTTCTTAATCGCGTTGCGATTTTCTTAATCGCGTTGCGATTTTCTGAATCGCGTTGCGATTTTCTTAATCGCGTTGCGATTCTTGGAAGATCGCGTTGCGATTCTCTTAATCGCATTGCGATTCTTGGAATATCGCGTTGCGATTTTCTTTTGACCGTTGCGATTTTCTTTTCAACGTTGCGATTTTCTAAATCGCGTTGCGATTTTTATTTCGCGTTGCGATTTTGTTGGTCATTTTCGCAAATCCAAAAAAAGTTGGTTAAAATCGTATATTATAACTTTTTTTTGGTCACTGAGGCGATTTTCTCTTAAGGTAATCACCTCCATTTCTACCAAAGATTACACTAACAACCGCTCAACATCATTGCTTATTTACAAAAATATCACTCTTCTTTACCCAAAATAACCCCTCCCTATTCGGGAATAACACTCAACATAGCCTGTAACTTTCTCCTCCCTCTCTTCGCACCACCGCCGGCACTGCCGGCAGAGGCAACTTTCCGACGATGAGACTCCTCCGGAACCGGAAAAGGAGTAACGGTTTTACATCTGCATCCACATGTTTCACCACGGTTATTACTTTTCATCAAAGCGGAGCTAGCTTTAACAGCCAATGCAGCCATTTCTTCAGCCCGCAGGCGATGTTTAAGAAAACTCAACGGCAAGGCAAAGTAAAGTTGACCGGGTTGAAGCTCCTCGTCTTCTTCGATGGCCGACACGACGTCGTCGAAGTCCATTTCATCGGAGTTGCAGATGAAACACGTGGGGTTCGTCTGTATAACGTAAGAAGCCTTAACAGGGTAAGGGAACTCTTGCAATCTTCCGTCTTGGAGAATCAGCTTGGCCGTGGCTACATGATTCGAATCGCAAGAACTACAAATACCCATTCTCCAGATTCGTGGAGTTTAATGCTGCTGTCGTTTTATTTTTATTTTTTGGAACTAAAAAGATTGAACCTTTTGGTGAATGGCAAGTGTGGAAGATGGGGCTTGGGGGAGTTTATATATAAGAGAAAGAGAAACAAGGGAGTGCCACGTAGGATTTCGTCGTGATGTGGTAATAAGCATTTTTGTGGGAGCAGTGGGCAGGGGTTGCCAGCCTGTAAGTTGGTGGTGACAGGTTGTATAAGTGACTGAGAATCAGAGTCTAAAGCACAGCCGTCGTTAGCTTCCATTCAATTTTAGTTCATCAACTATGTTATCAATTTAAATAAAATGAGATTAACGGAAATTAATAATAAAAAAACTTAAACTAGATGAATCGATAATGTGAGAGACTATTTAATTTTAATTTTTAATTGATGATCAAAAAGTGTAAAATGAACTATTCACATAGCTTACCATTAAATTTAAAAAGTTTAAGTATAATCTAATAACTTCTATTTAAGCGTAAATTCATGTTACTTGTAGATTTGTCAACTTGCCCTTCAACACTTTTATATAAGAGGGAAGGATTGTTTAAATCCTACGAAGTTTGTAATCTCATTTAATTGTTACTGTTTTATATTATAATGTATTATACATCAAATAGTTTTGATAATAAAAGATAAATGAATTTGAGTAGTTACGTTTATAAGATGTGTGTTATTAATTGATTAATAAAATCTTAAACATATATTATCTTATAATCACATCAAATTATTAAAAAAAAATCAAGAGATTAAACTTATTTAAATATAAATTATTTTTTAATTTACAGGTGATATAAGATTTAAATGATATAATATTAAAAAATATCTTAAAGTTTTGAATCTCTATTATAAAGGCTACAGTTCATATTATAAAACAGGTGAAGCTTATCCATTCTACATGCATTAAAACATATAGTTTTATTTATTTATTTATTTAGTTTTGTTGGGTGATAAATATGTAATCTAAAGTTCAAGTTAGGAAGATGTTGATCTATTCATAAAATAAAGGTTAATAATTGAGGAATGATAACATATGTCCTTGTGTTGCCCTTCCTATGAAGCTTCATTGGGTTCCTTTTATATAAAAAAAAATTCACTCTGTATAGTCAATTTAAAATTCTAAAAGGAGATTAAATCCAACCTTTTTAAATCAATTGCACTAAATATGGGATGGAATCATGGAAAGCAATTATTATTTGGGATAGTGTTGGTGTTTTTTTAAGTAGGATTAGAATAAATACAGTTTATATGATTTTAAAAAATTTAAAAATATTTTAATAATGTTTCATTAGTGAAAAACACATTTTTACAAATGGTATTCACATTGTATTAGGTATTATATATATATATATATATATATATATTAAAAATTAATAATCCCGGGCGATTAGTCCTCTAGGAGATAACCCGGGTTAGGGCTGTTTATTCGGTTAATTCAGTGGCCGAACCAACCGAACTACCATTAACCGAATTAACCGAATTTTTTTTTCTTTAACCGTTAATCGAACCGAATTTTTTTTTTCGAAAATATTAACCGAACCGAATAAATTTTAGTTAATTCGGTTAATTTTCGAATTAACCAAATTTTTTTTAAATTTTCTAATTTATATAAAAATTAAAAAATAGTTTATAATTAATTTAAATAATATATAATTATAAAATAAAAATTTTATATAATTTTTTAATTAATTAATATTGATTTAGGTTTAAAAGTTATTAGATCTTAAATTATTAATTGGATTTTAAATTATTAATTGGGTTTTAAATAGTTTGGGCTGAGCCCATATGTTATATGTAATATATTTAATATTTTTTTAATTCAGAAAAACTGTTTATAATTAATTTAAATAATATATAATTATAAAATAAAAAATTTATATAAATTTTTTAATTAATTAATATTGATTTATGTTTAAAAGTTATTGGATCTTAAATTATTAATTGGGTTTTAAATGGTTTGGGTTGAGCTCATATGTTATATAAAATATATTTAAAATTTAAAATTTTATTTCGGTTAATTCGGTTAATTAACCGATTTCAAACCGAATTAACCATTAACCGAATATCTAAAAAAACATTAATTGTTCCCGATCGAACTAATTCGGTGACCGATCAAATTAATCGAATTAGTTCGATTCGGTCGGTGAATTCAGTTAAAACCGAATTTTGAACCCCTAACCCGGGTGATTAGTCCTTTAGGAGAAAATATTCTCAAACATTCATTTTATAGGGTAAAGTATAAAAATGGTCACTTGACTATAAGATGCTGATTTTTTGAGTTATTGATTATCAAAAGTTACAAAATGGTCCTACTACTATAGGATGTTACTTTGTTGAGTCATTCGACTATTAAAAGTTATGAAATAGTCACATGACTATTCATATATTTCAACCTCGTCCTTTTTCATTTATAGATTGCTGGTAGTATGAGTTGAACGTTAATTTGTTGACTTCGATGTGATAAAATATAATTTCAGGATCTCAAACAACTATATAACTCAAACGACTATGGCTTATGAGATCATATTTTATAATATTTCAGTTAACATATTAATGTTCAGCTCAGACGACCGTCAATTATTAACAGAAAATGATGATTTTGAAACATATTAATAGTCGGGTAATCATTTTGTAACTTCTAATAATTTAGAGATGCAATAAGGCTTTGCCTTATAATCAAAGGACCATTTGAATAATGTTTATGAGACTAGTTTTTCACTTATGGTATGGCATCCAAAAACTTAATAATGCAAAACTAGCTTGAGAGATTTCATTTGGAGTTTCCACGAATGAAAATAATGTCCAAAAATAATACTCGACAAGGATTTGATTTGTAACATTCTTGTATAGATGTTTCATTGCTTATTCCATTGGATTGTATAAGTAACTTTGGTTGGCAAACAAGAGGTTAAACCCCACCAACCGACATAAACACACTACATCCATAATTATAAGCTCCAAAACACCACCTTTCCCCCTAATTACAAACAAATATATGAATATAAATTCAACTAAATCTTGTAGATTTTTTTTAAAGGGATTTGTTATCTTTGATTCAATCATATAGCCATATGGGATCATAAAAAAAAGGAAGCCATTGGCATTGCCATGAAAGTTCCTACCTTGTCCAAAACGCATTTTTTATGTAATATAAGGTTCTCATGCACATTTGGTAGGCCCTCAAGGGACTCGTTTTCTTTGGTCAAAATGATCATGTCTCAACATCAAATTCTTCCTTACAAGCAGATCAAGTTATTAGTGGTCACGGATCTTGACAAATAATTTTAGGGTAAACTACATGTTTGGTACTTTAATTATAATGCTGACATATCGCCATAAAATGATGTTAGTTCATAGTTGAAAATTAAAAAATACCATGATAGCAATTTTTTTATTTTAAAAAGATAAAATTAAAAATTATAATAAAAAAATTATAAAGTTTTTAAAAAGATTAAACTAAAAAATTTAAAATGTTAAATATTAATATCCTAAAATTTTGAAAACCAAGACCCTCTCACCCGTGATGTTCCACCCCTATTACTGGGCACTTAATTAAAATTGCAAAGGATAATGACTCCATGAATGGGTTCATTGCACACACAAGGGACTTTTTTTAAAAGAAAAATAATATAAATGCATTTATATAGATATGGAACAAATAGGAATTTTAAATGTTATTGCAAGTAGAATGGACCGAGAGGAGAAGAGATGATCATCTTTTAGAACTTTCAATATTTTAAATATTCTTTTATTAAAACTTTATTTATTTTTTCTTAAAAGTTATTTTTGTGTTCAGACTTACGCCCCGCTGAAAAAAATATGAGCCTCGAAAAGAAACGTTTAAAGCCCAAATGTAAATTAGAGTGCATTATAAGCCGAACTCAAGTTGAAATCTTTAAAACTAAAAGAAAACTGGTTTTGAATGTCCAATGGAGGTCTAAAACCTGCGACCTTTGGGTGCTTGTTTAATTTTGCAATCTAACTATAGTAGTTATTGGGCTAAGTCCACGTATGCCCCCTCATAGATTCCAGCTAAGCCCTACACTAGGACTTGCTTCTGTTCCCAAAAATTCAAAACTTGAGTTTCGAATGAAAGATTTTTTTAATTAATAATTGGTATCTGATTTATTTATCAATTAATTTAGATTAAATTTTATATAGGTTATTTGTAGAGCCGACATTCATAACTAAATTTACTCCATTCATAAATATATAAATATAATATTAGATAACTTCTTTTATTGTACTCTTAAATATTAGAGAAAATTTTCAAAGTTTAATTATCAAATTGATCTTTAGATCAATCTTACCTCATGTAGGAGTACAGAATGCAACCTCTTAACAGGAGCAGTTAGCGGATGCGCATCAAATGTTGAAGTCATGCATGTGATCTGGGCCATAATGAGTTCTAAAGAAATGTGTACTCTTCGCATTCATAACAATGCAGTTAGGCACGTAAACAAACTGAACATTCAGCTGATTGTTCATGAAATATTTAATGAGAAGTTTATTTATATTCGTTTTTATTAAATGAATAAATATAAATAATATTTTATGTTCGTTTAATTAAATGGACGAACATGAACAAAAGAATCGTTCGTTCATTTACAACCGTGAATGTTCTGCAATCCATTCGTTTATGTTTATTTACGTCCGGTAATCCATTCGTTTATATTCATTTGTTTAATTAAATTTATATTTATCTTTCTTTATTTATATTCTTCTAATAAATTTTGATTGATTTAAAAGAAAGCTACATTTTATGTTCGTTATTTTATATTCATTTATCATTTTAATAAACGAACATGAACGTACACAAACAAGCTACATTTCTTAATGAATGAACACAAACAAAAAATTTTATTCAATTAATTATTCGTGTTTATTCGATTAAAATTAAACGAACGAACATGAATATAGATTAGTTCGTGTTATTGTATTGTCCCATCATCTTTTAGTATGTAACACTGTGTGATTAAGATTAAAAGGTCAAACATATCATCCGTACAAGTAATAATTATTTGTCAGACACTCTTTCTCCTAATAA